GCAACCGCTAAACGACGCGCAGTACAGCGCTCGGTCCTCGGGTACTAAGTATAAGCTATTGTTTTAAACTTGTCACCCACCTGACTAACCGTGAACGCATAAGTACGTTTATACGCACAAGGAGTGTGTTCCAACGCTGACAAAACGCGCCGAGGTCACCGCGTTAGTATTCAAAAACGGTTGTCAAAGGATAAAAAAATATATAACAAATTGACTATTGTGATATACTCGCGCGCTCATGAAAATATGATTTATTCGGCCCGGAGGTTCGCAGATTATGTTCACCGATTTCTTTTACGACTCCGCAGGCAATCAGCACGTGTCTCGTGTGCTTCGTACAAAATCATTATTGACACTCCCGCTGGAATCGCAAGCGCCGTATAAAAAAATAAATCATAAAAAAAAAGCACAAACTGTTGAGTAATGTGCGTTTTAGTAGGTATAATAGTATGCGCTATTGTTGTTTATTTTTTTATTATTTCTTTATTTTACTTACCATCTCATCTAGTGTGTTAAGAATGCGGATCATTACTTTACACGGTGTAACATTTGTCTTTCAATTAAAAAAATGGAATTGCTATGTTATACTTGTCTCCTCTTGGCCAAGCGGTCGTCGTTATATCTGCTTTTGACCGTTTCCAATTAGGAATTCAGTTCACGTTAAACTAGAAACCGAACCGAATATTGTATTTTCATTTGTTTTAACTTTTTTTTCTCTCTTCTCGATAAACGTTTACGCTGCGTTCGAAATAATTACGTTAAAATTTTTTGGTTATTTTTGCATAACATCAAAAAACATGAAAATTAAAAATCATTTTATTTGTAAAATATATGTCTCTATGTTATATATTTTACTACATAAATATTTTTTCTTGGTCTAGTAAGGCTTCAAGTTTTATATATTATTAAATTCATTATCTCAGTCGTGAATTTTAATGAATTAATTCGCTAAATTTGAAATACATTTTAGTAAAATTTTTAATAAATAATATTTCCAACAATTTTTATTAAGCTATATAAAATGGACTTGATTTCAAATTATATTAGTTTAGGATTTTTTTTCTAAAAATTTTACATAAGTTTACAAACTATAATTGAAATCCTTACTTTTTACATATATTAACGCCAGCAAGTAGATAATAATTTATATTGATTTTATCTTTATATTATGTTAACAATTATAAATTAATTTTATTAAAGCCTTAACTTAAAGTCATGAATAATTCACAAAAAAAATTGTTAAAAGAAGCAATAAATATTATTAATTATAATTAATAATATTTATTGCTTCTTTTACACATATATAATTATATATTAAATAATTTCAGGAACTAAACGTTTTTATTTATTAAAAAATGCAATGTACTAGTGCATAGTTATTTGTTAACAGTAGAATACGTTATTGCATATGTTAAGTATATTCTAATTTTTTCTAACTTGTGAATTAATTATATATAAGAGACATATTCACTGAGGACATTCGAATCTCTACACTCAGTCTTAATGTAGTACTGTAAGGTTTTAAGTTCGCATAGTAATGTCGTATACGCGTTTGTGTATTTGTCGGTCTTTCATTGATTACTAAAATTTTTAAATATACCTAGCAAAAAAATGTAGTAGTATCTTATAATTTCAATTATAGCCAAAACATTTTAATTTTAAAATAATCTCAGAAAAATATACCAATTCCAAGCCTAATGACATACTAAACGTGCTAGAGGTCTTAGATAATTTTAGATAAAAAATATAAAGATCATATATTCGGTACATACTTTGAGATTTTAAACAAAGGTAAGAATTTAAAATCGACATTTCTAAAATTTATAAATGTCGATAAAGTATATTTAATATACTTTAAGTTTACTTGTTTTCATTGAATTGATAAATTTAGTCTTTTCATAGTTAATAGTTACTAAAATATTGCTAAGTGACTTGTTTGAGAAGTATACTCAAAATGAACAAATACAAGAACATGGAAATAGAAGTTGTGATGCTGAAGTCAATGGCATTCTACGTTACTCGTCGTTTCCCAAATACCCAGCGATGAAACTTTTTTCAATGTATTACAGCAATTACCTCGAACCAGTTTATCACTTATATAGTCCTATGGGGTTCCTTGTCTAGAAAAATGGAAGTCGATAAAAAAAACGGACAAATACGCTACGATAGCTAACCATAAAGCTCTAAGGCTAATAGTACAAAAGACAAATGGGTCGGTGGTCATCCCGGAAGGGCCAACAAGTATACATATATAATATAACCACCACGCCCGATCATTGAAACTTTGTACCGGAAGCACTGCTTTTCTAATTCCTTCCTGACCTTTTCTTCTATATCAACAAAAAAGACCACATGAGACCTTTTCTTTTGAAATTATTCTGTTCGACAAAACCCAAAAATATCAGTAAACAAGAACAATAAAAACAAATTCAGGGAACACAAAATTAGAAAAATTGTATTCATCATGTGTTATTTTAGGTTAATAAAAATGTTCACATTTATCTTTAAAACAAAATAGTTTTCACGAGAAATATCGGGTGGAAACTTACAATAAATAAAAAAATACCAACAAAGTCGCCTTGAGAAATAATAACAAATATTACATATTTACAGCCAATATAAATTGTTCTTTAGTTAACTACCGATAGTCATAAAAACGTTGGAGTTGTTCCATTTGTATTTTAAATATCATGCGTAGTGATTTAACGAAAAATATTCTCGAGAGAACTTTTTAAGCAACACGAATATTCTTTTGCAGATAATTACGGTAGAATATATTCTTAAGAAAATCTAAAAATGAAACTTAATAATATCTTTACGAATATTTAATTAAACTTGAAAATTATTTGGATGAATAAATATTTATCAAAATTTCATGAAAGAAAAATAATTTAAAAAAAAATAACTTGGTCGATAGTCACATAACAACAAAAATATAAAAAGTTTTCTATAAATTATGAGCCAAAAAATGATTCTATGGTATCTTAATATTTTCTGTATTTCAGTAGCTTCTCAATGATTTTACCATTTCTATGAATTTTCTTTGTTTTGTATTTGTACGACTTCTTTATGTTATTTTTGTTATTCATTGACTAAAAAAATTAACTCTTTCAAAAAAAATTGTTCATCTCATCGAAAAATTACCAACCAAGATTTCTATATAATTACCATAACTTGGACTCAATTTGGCTACTATAAATACATTTTACGAAATTTTAAATGTGATTTCTTTTTTTATATTGACTCTCATTTAAAATTAAAAAATGTTATTAACACGTTTTGATTTGTCGACTTACCATAATTGTCCGTCCTAATTTACTATCACTCAAAAATTACGACCAAAAAGACGGACACGACTGCTAAGTAAGACACAACAAGTCGTCATTACTTAGCACCAGCCTGGTCATACAGACCATTATTGTGCTTTAAATTATTATTAATCTACTTTGGTAAAGTTTAAATATTAAAATTTAATAATATATTAATGTTGTGGAAATTATTTTTGGATACATCCACTATCGTCTTTAAAAAACATTGTATAAACTAATTGAAGTAAAACTGTAATAGTAACCGCATTATAAAAAAATAAACTCATTTATTGATCACCCAAAGAGATGTTGCGGTTTTATGTCAATAAGCCAAACCACATCGAAAAGAACCGAAATTTTTTTACGAACTGTATTTATCATTTAGGCAACCGACGCTTCTCAATGAAACAGCAACAAAGAAGTACAATAACTACGTTGGCGTGCAATATTTTATTATCATTATGATCTAAGGTGGCGGCTAGGGTTCATTTACGGCGGTAGTAGTTTTCTGAGAGTATTAGTGAGGTGAAAAAAAAACACAACAATGTAATAAAACAAACGTATTGTTGACCCCAATTGACCGCATCGCGTGGACCACGAATATGCGAATACACACACACACACACTGACTGCCTTCTCCATTCATCTGTGGCATACGTGTTGATTACTTGTATGCATTGGCATTACACAGCAGCAATAATACCTAGTCGGTAAAAAACAAATAATTATGATAATCCTTTATTCTTAATTTCCCAGTTTTTCAGCAACTGCATTCAAATTATTACAATTCTCAATATCGGTTTTCATGAGTAGTGTTTTATTTAAATTTTTTAACTGAAGGTTACACTCAATGGTATTTATCCTGTGCATTGCACGGTCGTTATGAAACTCGGACGATTTTCTCATACATGTATAAATAATATTTAATCAAAAATGGTAACATTTCCGTGAACGCGCTAAGCTCACTGTGCCTATACGATACGTTACAATACAGATGTGTATTGTAGTGCATAAATTAAAATTCGACGTAATAAAAACACTACACTCAAGTTAAAGGTGAGATTTTATTTACACAAATTAACACTGCATACATTACATTATGTTTATGAATACAATGTGTGGAAGCTATGTTCAGATTCTCATAAAATAAAATAAAAAAAAAAAAACAAAGATGTTTGCTGCGTGTAAATCGCACGTTGAATTATTAATATTTTCATATTGAATACTTTGGGATGCAATATTTTTAGCAAAATGAAATTTTACGTCTTCGATATTTATTTTTTACATTTTTGATTTGACAATGAATAGTGAATCATTTGCTCAGACATATTTAAGATTGATAGTAAATAAATAAAAATGCCAACTATTTCAAGCTGTTTAGCTATATGCGGTGTCTTAATAAATTAATTCAATATCAATTTAACATTGTAAAATGTAATAAAGCTTTACTGTAACAATTTATTTCTCATTAGTAAAATAGTTTTAAATGTTTCATTTCGAATATGATTTTACAAAAAAAAAGACCTAAATATAAGTTTTTGATAAATAAATTATTTTTATTTTGACAATTGTATGTCTTTAAAATACTATGGACCACCAAAGTTCTTTAATATATTCCCAATTGGTGTCATTTTGTCGCTTTATTTAAAATAGCGCTAAATTAAGCTATCCATACACAATAAGAACAAACAATAAGTGGTTTAATTTAGATTGGTGGTATATTTGAAGGCCTAAAAATAATAAAATATTACACAAAATACATTTTTAACTATAACATAAGTAACTAAAAAAATACATTTTAGAGCTTGATTGATTATGTTCAAATTGCTTAATCCACTTTGATCGCTAGACGTTTTGATCGTTTATTTAATGCATCTAACAGATAACTCGTCTCACGATACCTGTTGAAAGTCCTTATTGCATATTTTATTCAAAGACACACGCACTTGTCAGCCTGTGAAAGTCACCGATTTGTATAATTATATAAATGAAATGCGTTTAGGTTTGTACGAGCGCACCCGGTTAATTTACAGTACTCCTATGGCAGTAAATTAATGACATTTTAGTGCTAGGGATAGTGGCGTCTGGCGAATTCAATTTACATACACTAGCTGTTTACGTTAATAAACATATACACACTTGTTTTGCAGAGAAACAAATTTACATTTTTTAAAAGATAACACCGGCGATTATTTACACGATACTCCGTTTTAATAATGTGGGGAGAGATATACAGGTTGAAGATGTACGGTTATGAATAATGCGTTCGTATTCTAATTAACGAAGTTTCGAAACTAGTCGGTCGAGGGTACCGCAAGAGAACCGCGTGGCCCTTGCGGATCGCGCCAAATTCGCATATTAAAATGTGTCTTCGAGCCCGACAGTTACAACGGACACTCCGCAAAGGAAACGGATTCTGCAAACGACAAGGACACAATAGACGCTGAAAAAAAAAAACGTTAGAATTTGCATAATATTACTCATACGGTAGGATTGAATTGTATAAAAAAAACGGTTTTTTTTTTACCCTGTGTCTTCTTCTTTTTCTTCGTCATCCAGAACAAATATCGGATCAATAGGAATAACAAAGATTATGAAAATTAACGGCCAAGTCCGGGATGTGTATCTTTTTGCCCCTCTGAGTGCATTTGAATACGTATGGATCTCGTTTTTCATCTCCTTCGTTTCCTCTCCTCCCTCTTTAAACTCTGACACAAACAGCGGAGCCGCTATATATTATCGTGGCCGTGTTATTGTTACCTGGGAAAAAAAATCGTCTGTTAAAGGGTTGCGCGAGACGTAGGAAGGCCCCTTTGCATAAAATTTGAATGGCAACTTAGTGTAGTTTTATTACTATTATTATACATATTTTAAAGCGTTAGTTTGCATATACACACGCACATAAACGCCGTCGGGTACCGAGGGGGGCAGATCTACCTGTTATTGCTGCGGCGGCCGCCGCGTACCGCCCCACACCGCGCCGTCTGCATACCATGAGAAAAAAAGGGTTCATTTGAATTTTACTTTCCGGAGGATGAGACCGAAGGGCTTTGGATTTCGTAAAAGGGGGGCGATTGTGTGTGTGTTATTTAAAATAGGTGTCTTCTACACCATCGGTATGTGTATAAGCGCACACATATGTACGACAACAAAAAAATGATATATCATCTGCATATGACGACGTACCCTTTTTTGCATACACGTCCTAAGATCACGTACAACCCTTTTTATAATATCGATACGGTATTGAATATTACAGATAGTAAAATGTGCGCTTGTGATATGCAGATCGATAAGTTCCCACGACACGCTGATAGGCCCAACGCAACCGGTGCAGATCATATTTGCATTCATCCAGCCGTTTTCGCTTAACAACGGATAACTGCGTCTTTAATCACTGGCGTTTCCGGACCAATTGGTGGAACCGGTAAAAAACGGTAAAAAAAAATATTGCCAAACGGTTTTTTGCGACAAACGCAAAAACGGTATGTTTTATTTTTTTGTGGCGATTCGTTTTAATTGAGATCTAAAACGACTGGGACCCGAAAATAAGAAGTCACAAAGTGTACGCAGTCCTCAAACAATCGGCTTGGACCCCCCAACGTGAAAATTCCTCCCCGGGGTAAGGCGCGCCGGCGGTTCATCCCGTCGGTTATCGTCGTTCGGATCTCTCGATTTGTGTTGTTATTAATACACACGACAACGAGCATTGTTTTTATTTCGTCTAAGCGCATTACTAAGAAGTCTCGGAGGAGTACGTGCAACGTCATATTTCATTAATACCCCAGAAAAGACAATCGCCGCAACGGCTAAATGCCGTTTGTTCCGAAACAATGTACCAAAACGCGTCAACCCACAGTAATTATGTGATCATTGTTTCCGTACGAACACAACTCGACCACATTTCAGATTTATAAAATAATAATAATAACAATAAAACGTTATAAAGCCAACGTTTATTCGTATTTAACACCTAGAGCTAGACAACAACACGCGATGGTCCTATAAATATGATATTTGGAAGAGCACGTGCTAGGGTCTTCGTCGTTTAGATTAAATTATTTAAATTTCCAGTTGCCATGCAGATTGCACCGCGTCTGAATTTAATTATCAGACGTATTGCATCGCTCCAATCTACTGACCTATATTTGAAATTATTTATGAGAACGTCCCCCTCCCCGAGGTGCCCATTGTCGAGACGACCGGGTGATGTTATCGTCTTCCATTTGATTTTAATTAAGAACGGACTTATCCAAAACTGTGTACCATAAACAACAACGGCGTTCAGAGTTTTGAATCGGTCACCGAACGAGCTTAGTAGAACACATACGAGATTTTTTCAGTTTTCTGTGCAATTCGACTGTAAGCACACATGAGACACGTGTACTTGTACATAGAATTGTGTCGCTCCGCTCGTCTTCCGATTACTGGCGGACGTTGGGGAGGGGTGGCTTTTGTACATAGAATTCCACTCCACCCAGACTCCTGTCGTATTATTGCCAACCGTTTTTCGCTTCGTACGACCGGCGAACAAAAGCTCACGTCACGTCTGCCGAGCGCACACAGTTTTTACAGGCGCGCCGAGCACGATTTCGGCTTTAGCGCGTTACAGGACTTATACACCACGAGCTACTGGAGAGGTTCGCCCGCCCGCCCGTGAGCCACCAGTATTTTTGTAACCTCATCACGTGCCCACGTCAGCCCTCCGGTTTTCTCGTACTTTGCACTTTCTCCTTCTTAATCCCGAACCACCGCCGTACCGCCCGCATCACCCAACCCTATACCACGTCCGTAATCACGAATCCCTTTCTCCGCAGTACCGAGGACCCTACACGTATATACATACACCTCTGGCCGTCGCTAGATTTTACCTCTACACATTCCGAGTACCGGTGGTGGATCAACCGTATCTCGATAACCCCATGTGAATGGATACGATAGGCGAGCTTAATGGAACAACCGCCGGTTTTGGATGCGGCCACCGTATAAGGTTTCGTGGAAGAAAAATCAACCGTTTCGTCACTGATCCATCCATAGCTGCGCCCCGTTAAGGTGTCGTTCCGCATCCCATAACGATGATAGATAGAGAAATAATGATCCCGTGTCATCATCGTGTCTGGATTCGTAACGGTAGGCGTGACCGGGTCGCCGACCATATCATTTCGATTCCATTTCGCTATTCGTTTTGAGTGAATCTCCAGTACACTAGTTATCGTTAAATGCCAAGACATGATATCATTTTAATACGCGCCCGGAGTCAAGTTCACGAACGTGACAAACTAATCACTACACCAACCGTACAATTTCCCCAATCCTGTATGCGATTGCGCGTAAAAAAATGCAACAATACAACTCGGAACGCGTTCCTCCCGTGACACGTTCGAATATAAACAGACCAAAATTTAAGAAAAAAATTTAAAATATTCTATATAATTAAGAACAAATGTCATTCGGGTACACGGATGTAAAAAATGTTCAATGAAAAAAACAGGACGTTATGGGTGTTGCAGTCTTTCAAAAATAATTCCGTCACTTTAAGTCAAAATGGACAAAAAAAAATCGATATTTATTAAAGAACAGAGAAGCTAATTTTTTAATGCATTATGCTTAGATGTGCAAATGTCGGGGTTAAATGTCATAAACTAAAATTATAATTGGAAAACCTTTATTTTCAAAAACAATATTTTTAACAAGTACAATATTTTCAATCGTGTAATTATAAAATACGTATAATAAAAAGTTATTAAATTACATAAGATGTTTATTTACAAGAATGTCTGTTGGGAAGGTCATTTTAAATATGTATTTATGTTATTGAATATAGAGTTAATTATATTTTAGCATTTGATTTACTAAATCAACATTTTTATAATTGTATTTTGTTTGATGGATTAATAATTAAATTGATTATTTATAAGTAATTCAATCTATCGATTTTATGCTGAACTCAACATGTTTATGCAAAATGAATGTAAACTAAGTTTCATAACGACTTAGAATACCTCAATAGTAATATTACAAATTTACTACCCTTTAAACAAGGATTTAAAAAAATTCGTTTCTTTCAAGGGATGAATATTATTCTTAAAACATAACCAACGTTATGTACTGTGCATGAGACATAACGTGTTACCTTATGTCTCATGTACAGGTATCGAAATTCCATTCAATTGCTTTGAGAGCTGGTTTTTCCATCATCTCTCTCTCTCTCGAGCAATATTTTTGGTTTTACCATCAATTCACAGATGAAAAAATAAAATAAAATTGGATTATACATTTTTAAGAGCAAGTTAAGATGAGTAAATATTTAGCATAGACATGTATTTTCTCATATCGAAATAAATTTTTAAACATTTTGAACAATTTCTATGTTTTTATTTTAAGAACGTATTGCACCGATTTTTGAAAGGTATAAAAACTAAATTCCGTCGATTCGAGCAATATCAGTTTGCCATTTGTCAATAAAAAATAAACTTCATCAATGTGTTATAATGTCACTATTAATGATAATGCCAGTCGAATTTTAGTTTGGCTCGTTATAATTAATTGAAATTTTTAATAACTAAACCGAAGATACCATTTTTTCGACCTACATCGTAGGTGTATTTAAAACAACGATATTTTTAAACGCTTTTAAAAACGCAACAGAATTGAACGTTTTTAATAACAATTTGTGCAGCCGCGTTGCGACATTAGCCGAAAACACACAATGCCAATTGATTGTCACAATGCCCATGTATTCTGCCGCGCTTTTAATTTTACCGCTAGACCGAAGACCCTCCTCGGGCGGAGCGAGTGCGGGTACGTTTTTTTTCTTTTTACGAGTGCGTGAGTGTGTACAAAATAAAAAACTACAATGAAACTCGGCCGTGTACGGCACGAATAGTAATTGAAATCACACGACGTTTGTGACTAATCAAAACCGTAATACTTTTACGGTACGCTCCGGCTAATAGGTGAAAAACGGTTATCGGCATGCGCGGCCGACCGGTCGTTCGGACCGAGTGCTCGACAACCGTGAAATACACATTTTCAACGGATGAAAACCAGAAAGGAAGTACAGGCGCGTATTTACATTTTCGCTTAATTAGAAATCTTCCGACCCGATACGTGGTTGACATTTTGTGGATTTCAGATGTATATTTTTTCCGAAGCACGGCGTTTGCGTCGAACGTCAACAGAAAAAAAAAACGGATCCAATCATTAACGAATGTGGTCGAAACGATAACTGGTTGTACGCTAGAAAATGTATAATTAGTAGATAAATAACTTCTTAAGTCCCGATAGCCAACGATGTCAGGTCTGCCCAAGGTGCGTTATTTGGCTACAGATATCCGAAACTGGTCTTTGGCGCCTCGCTTCGCAAGGCGTTATTAAATTGGTTTAATTGGTTAGAAACGCCACCGCACAGAGTTTTGATTTCGACTTTTATGGTTATTATAGAGATATTTGATGCGCATAAAAATATAACGAATTTATTAAAAAACGAAAATAACACTTTGATTTCTCGCGGTTTTTTGTAACGTAAAGAGACTGCCACCGGTACGATAAATAGAACGCCGGGCAAAACACAATCTAAACCAGTTGTGATTGAGTAGTTTATCGAGCACGTTGGGCGACGGCTCACTCATAACTTTTTCTGAGGACGAAAATAATATCGTAAAAAACTATAATTACTATTTATTGTACGTTTTAATTACCACGCACTAGACGAAAAACCGCTTATTATTATCACGTTACTGTGTGTGTGTGTGTGATGT